AATGTGCTCTTTTTTTTTTACCTTTAGCTGGTAGATGCCGAAGGGGTTCTCCATGCTCCCCGCAGGAGGGACCTTCCCAACTGGCTCAAAGAAAACCCAGATTATGAAGTGGAGGGAGACATGCTAGAGGTAAGTGAATAACTCGGGTTGAGCTCTTCTTTTTGGACTGACGCCTGATTATGTTCATCTCGTTGTTGCAGTTACTAGTGAACCGGACCAAAAGGAAGAGGAGGAGGAAGAGGATAGAGAAAGGAGCAGCACTTACTGGCAGTGAGAGAGTGAAGGTCATAGACATAAGGACGGGCAAGAAGGTGAGGGAAGACCTTTGGCAGTTCTACCATAATTTACACTAACACAATTAGATTTGTTTTTTCAGCAAATCAGCATGTTATAATGATTTCTGTAGAATCATGTGACACTTAGACTGAAAATTCAGCTTTGTCTTCACAGGAATAAATTGCATTTTAACAGCCTAAAATAGAAATTAAGTAATTATATTAAAGTTTTTTTTTTTTTCCCCTGTATTTTTGATCAAATAAATGCAGCCTTTGTAAATATAAGCGAGTTTATGCGTTCATGGAAAATGCACAAAAAAAAAATACCTACAAATCTACAAATACCCCCATCTACAATGTGGTTTGTCTTGGACAGTTATTGTTTTTTTATGTATTTGGTGCTTTTCTGTTGGTCTTAATGATTTTTACTCCCCTGATTTTCAGTTTGGTGGAATTTATGGACCTGCACTACAGGACCTGAGAGAGCACCTGGAGGAGAATCCTGACCACGCTGTAGCGCCTGAATGGTCTGAGACTGTTCGCAATTCGGTTAGTGTCTCCTTTTATTAGCTCGGTGGTTATCAGGGTGGCCGCGGGTCATTAAAAAGTATTAAAAAGTCTTACATTTAAATTGTTTATACCTGTAGCCACCCTGGTTCTACTCATCTACCCAGGTTGTATAGCGTTAGACCAATCATAGTCAGTTGTCAATTTGATTGAAATTAATGTGATCCTTCTCCTCAATCTCAGGGGTTCTTGCCTGAGAGTTTATTCCACAGACTGTTGAGTCCCCACGCTTCAATCCCCAAAAAGAATCACCATTACCTCTCCACCCCTTCGATCCAGACTGATGACCCTCTCCTCGGAGGCGGCGAAGGCGAGACGTTAGTTTCCGATGGCGCTTACATGATGGACGATGAGGACCTGGAAGACGGTGGTCACCTCACGTCATCTCACCACTTCCTTACTCCAGCCTACGATGTGAAGATGGAGCCGAGCGCTCTTGATATGGACGGAGGTGACAGTTTGTCACAAGGTGGATATGATAGTTCAGACAGAGAGGCCATTTTGGATGATGTCATCATGGCACCGAAAAATTCAGACTCTTCCTCAAGCTCAGAGGATTGACCAAATCTCATGTTAGATGTAGTAGACCGAGATCATGACAGTCTTTTATTTTATTATATTCTGCCTTCATTATTTTTATAATTATTGTTGATGTTATTGCTTAAAATATGGAGTAACAGATTTTTTTTCTTGGTTTGGATTTGTACTCGACTGTTTTGTGTAGATTGAGGAGATACAGGTTTTTTTTTTTTTTTTCGTTACACCTCATTCAGCACGCTGTGCTTAATTCCAGATGAAATATCAATTTGTCTCACATACCCACAGTAAGCCCCTTTCATCCTGTATTGGCTGGGAAAGGAGCTGTTTGTTTCTCACCCTCAGGCTGAACTGTTTAACAGTGTGCTGGAGGATCCATAGTCATGCACTGAGCTGAGCCATCGTGATGCCTCGGTCTGGTTAAGAACGTGGAGGGTTTTTTTTGTTGGATGTATATCTTTTTTTGTGTGTGCGCGCGTGTGTGTGTGTGTGTGTGATGGGGGGTGGGACAGGGTAGGATATGGGGTTTAGGGTTAGTTACTGAAACAATGTTAGACAGATGATGGCTGTATTGTACAAAGTAGAGTTGGTCCTATGCCTGCAATGATGCAAAAATTATGCGTTTATTCCCGTTTCAATAACTGACTCCAACTGTCTCTGTGATATAAATATGAATAGCAGTCTACAGTGGAACTGATGTCTGTTGAATTCATTTCATCAAATGTTGGTATTTATTTCAGAAATGACCACTCAAGGCTCTTTTTATTGACTGCCTGGAATACATGCTGAGTAGTAAAGCAAGTTTATTCTCTCTAAAATTTTATATTTGGATGTGGAGAAATATAATCATTAACAATTGTTTGAATGAACAAGTAGTTTCAATTTGCTGTCTTGTAGCTTATGTTGACATCAGTAACTTGACATTAAATCACAACTTTGGAGTAGTTTCAGCAATTCAAGTAAATTTGAAACTAACACATTGAAAGAGACAATAAATATGACACAAAAAATCAGCATGTGGCAGGGTTAACTTTTTTTGATACCTGCTGAAGGCAAGTCAGGTTATTTGCCAGCAATAACAAATAAAATTAACGTGTGTCTTGATAATGTTTACAAATGTTTTCCACAAACCTGAATGTAGGATGTGGGTTTTTATATTTTAGAACAACTGAATTTGCTTGTGGTGCAAACTGCCTTCTTTGTCCAGTGTGTGGTTTAACCATTGGGTGATCAGTATTACTGTAGTAGGAGACAAATATATTGATATTATGTGGTGCCTTTTGAGCTCTGTAACAAAAAAAAGTTAATGCATTTTGAAATGTTAGGAAGTTTTTTTTTTAAAGAGATGAGGATTAAAGTTATCAAATCCATTGCGAATATTTGGAAATGTTTGTGCCATGTTTACCCACTAATTTTGTTACTTCCAGTTAGTGTTAGAACACAGGAGAAAGCTAAATTGCCCAATTAAAAGATTCACAAGAAAAAAAAAAAAAATTTTGTTAGACATTTTACTAGAGAAAATTAATGCATTGCACCCTGGGACATGGCACAATAGAAACATCAGCAACTCAAACTAGAATAGTTGTTATATGATTACGAGTTTAATTTTTATTTGTGCTTTCCAACAGGTTTTATCGGAGTTTTGTCCAAGTCAAGTCAATGGATTTGGACAAAAACTACGATAAAACCTGTTGGAAAGCGGAAGTGCAACCACAGAACAGAAGCCGAAAATGCTCGGGCCAGCAGCATGTGTCCAAATTTCAATCTCGTTATATTTAATCAGGAACGATCTTTCAGGGCTTTGAGTTTAAAATACCGAACTTGTCCTTTATTTAACTAATATGAAAGAGACTTGAAATGTAATTCATGGTAGGGTTAAACTAAAAATATATATATATATATATATTCCTCTAGGAGCACATGCATTACACCAGGGGTGTCAAACTCAAATACACAGTGGGCCGAGATCAAAAAATTGCTATAGGTCAAGGGCCGGACAGGTTAAACACTTATTGAAACAACGTATTATTATTATGAACCTGAAAACAACAAGGTCTATATATTATTGCCAATAAAACAACATTAATTAGGAAATAAAATAAAATAAAATTAATAAATAAAATCAGTTTCACTAATTTCTTATGGTTATTTACAAAAGTTATTTACTTCAAAGGAAAATCAAATGTCCTATAGCAAGAGAAAGAAATGCAAAAATGAAAGTCCACCTTTTCAAAGTTCACCTTCCTTCAAATTTGGCTGATTATTTATGCTGAAAAATGGCCGAGTTTTGGTCTGTACTAATCTGTCACTGTCACATCGGGGAAAATACCTTTTGAGTTACAGACTACCAAACGTTAAAGAGAAGAGTGCAAAAACTGATGAAAGAAGGCGTTTGTGGTTGACAGAGGCACAGCATCAGCAATACGGCACTGACATTGACACTGATGGAGGGGTTTGCATTTGCAATAGTGATGTTTTCTTATTTAATTTTTACAACATGGATGTGTGTAGCCACCGCCGCGCTGGACTATATTAGGGACTTTAAGCAACAGCCTCTGGTGGAATTGCGTATTGAGCTGCAGAACGGTAGGAATCTGTTATGCAACGTTACGGCTTTTTCCGCGTTCTTGTCAGCGCCGGTTTCAATACATGTTTCAGAAATAATATTTTTCTGCTCGTCCGGCACTTTGCAACAACACAGCATTGTTTCGGCAGCGACTTGCAGCATGTCTCCTCTAAAACTGATGTTTAACGTTACATTTTATGTGGCGTGAAAGTCGCATTCCATCCGAAATCCGATCGTTCAGACTGAGGCATATGGTATTTGAATAGGATTTCAAACCACATATGGATGTAGCTGCTAGCTTGAAACGGATTTCATGTGCTTTTTGGACTGACAATCTGAGCGTAGCCTATGTCGGAACAAGAAAATAGAAGGAAGAATTGCAGTACGGGCTATAGAAGCTCACCATTACCACATATTAACTTTAGTTTGTCAAAATATTACGCTCTCTCCTGCTTGGTAAGTCCATCTCTATATGATTTCGTACCTACCAAGGGTTTTTTTCTGTGTTTTTTAGTGTAACAATGTGTTCCGTAGTACATACATAGTGCAGTAAATGCCGTTGTTTACATCCGAGTGCCCCCATAATGGCCACTCATCCGGGTTACCGCCCAGAATGTCACGCTTTCGCGGTCATGTTTCCATGGTGACGCGTCATTGCTTGTCACGTGACACAGTGACGGCGGGCCAGCTCTAAAAATAAATACATTTTGTCATGCGGGCCAAAAATAATTCATTTGCGGGCCGGTTGTGGCCCGCGGGCCTTGAGTTTGACACATGTGCATTACACTAACACAATTAGATTGTTTTTTTTTCCAGCAAATCACCATATTATAATGATTTCTGTAGAATAGACGCATTCAAATTACAAAGCCATTTTTTGTTTAATTGAAAACATTAATGTAACTCCATTGCTTCAGTCTGTGTTTAGTCTCTATGAAAAAACGACTGTGATTGGTCCAGCTTGATCTTCGCCCTAAAAAGTAACGACTGTCATGTGACAATCAGCGCAGCGGCGCTCTGGAATGTTTTTTTTTTTTGGTGTTTATCGAATTGGTAGTCGAGAGTAAAGGCTCAAAACAGATGAACTGTTATTTAAACGTGCGGTGTATTACCAACTAGAGACAACGTGAGTCGCATTAAATATTTTCAGGAAAAGGTTTCATTTTCAACTACGAAAAAAAAATCCATAGAAAATCTATGATCGGAGTGCGATTAATGTGACTTCTGAATGCAAACAGACAAACGTAACAGAGCACCGATCTAGTCGGTCCATTTTTTACACTGGCAGCAACTGTCTTTGCTAGTGCAACTCGAATACAAACTTAACTTTCTTAAATCAATTTGAATATATTTTCACAATATACAGTTTATTGTGTTATGTAATGAGACACCAAGTCTCTCCGCGAGACCTGTGCTAGGAATGAAACCTCACGTTGGGTTAACAGCAACACCTTTGTGAACTAGCACCACTTAGCCATTTAACGTTAGCTGCTGCTAGCTGGCTGAATTGGTAAGCCTATTAATAAACGTTTTTAACTAATCTGGTACTACTTGCGCTGCGTGTGGGATCGTGTAATGAAGTTTACTGGCATAATTCGGCCGAGCAACACATACTATAACGTTACCTATAAAATTGGACAATACCGAGAACAAGATGTTTTGTTTCTTGCTTCTTTTCTATTAGTGAATGGTATTTTTTTCTTTGATGACTTTGCTTTTTAATGTGGATTTTTTTTTTGTTGCTTTTGGCTCGTTACAAGGTCAGCTTCTTCTCTGATATCAAAAGACCCAATTGATCTATTTATATAGTCCTAATATTTTCCTCATGGATCTGAATTTTTACTCGGATCTCTCTGACGGGACTGGTCAACATGTTGATTCTGAGTTTATGGAAAACTCGTCTTACAATGGATATGATTCAGTGAACAAGGTAAACCAGACTTTGTTTAGTTAACGTCTTAAGTTGAATATAAAACGTACTGTATTTAAAATTGCAGCATGTCACGTAGTGTACGTTTGATCAATATGTCTGCAGGTAAATAATACACTTATCAACCTCTGTTTATTAGTTTGCAGGTGCCAACGAGTCATACCTGACCATCAGTGGACCTGGTCATCATTTTCTTGAGGTAATGTTACTTTTGGTTTACTTGTATGTGTATATGTGTGTTTCTGTTTATCATTTTATTTATGCATTCACTTTGGCTTGCAGAAAACATTCCATACACCCTGTCTGGGTGATGAAGAGTTTGAAATCCCAATCTCCTTGGATCCAGATTCTGCGCTCACCATAGAGGATGTGGAGGCCCATTTTGGAGAGTTGGCCGAACAGGCTGAGAGCTCAAGGGGTCCTGGAGTTGGAAATAGTCTTGCCAGTAATACTGTAGTTGGGGGGAATGATCCCTCTTTTTCCTCTGCTTTCATGAATCCGTCTTCTCAGGGCATAGAGCATCTGAGTTTGGGTGTGATTAACCAGCCTGGAGGAAGTGCACTACTGAGCTCAACTCTGGGTGTGGTAAGCTTTGTTTTTGTTTTGTCAGTGATCAATTATTTTCTTGCTTTCAGCTTGTTATGGGCACTTGAATTGCTGTTAATGCAATTAGATCTTGAGTGAAGTATAGATTGGTACATCAGATAATGGTTTTTTTTTTGTCTTGTTTTTTTTTTTTCCTGTAGGATCTCAGCCATTCTGTTGGCTCCCATTTTAATAGTTCCTCCTCCATGACTATTGATGTTCCAATAAACGACATGAGCCACAGTCTCTTAGGACACAATCAGCTCACCACCATAGACCATTCAGATCTAAGTGCTCAGTTAGGGCTCAGCCTTGGTGGTGGAGCCAAGTCACCTGACCAAACGCTGTCAACCACACCATCTCCTTCTGGGTCATTGCAGGATGAAGACATGGATGACTTCAGACAAGTGAGTCTTTCAGTGCTGGGCTTGATTTGTGGCACATTGTCTTTCTTTTTCAATTTTGCAAGCTATCCCTATTTCCATTACAGAAAACCATGCTGGTAGACTACTCTTCAGCCTCTGCGACGATCATACCGCACCTCCCCAACTTGACGGGTTCCACCCAGCTCTCTTCTGCTCCTCCAGTTGTGGTGAGAAGGGTTGGCGGTAAGCCGGCCATGGTGCCTGTGACCACAGTGGACACGGGAGCAACACTGGGAGGCAAAAAAGGAAAGAAGAAAAAGGATCCCAATGAACCACAGAAACCAGTGTCAGCCTATGCTCTGTTCTTCAGAGACACCCAGGCAGCCATTAAGGGCCAGAACCCCAATGCTACATTCGGAGAAGTGTCCAAGATAGTGGCATCCATGTGGGACAGCCTGGGCGAAGAGCAAAAACAGGTGGAGTATAGTTCTTAGAAGACTGACAGTGTTTGCAAAAAGTCCAAATTCAATTATGCACAACTGCTCAAAGATTTGGGGGCATTATTTATTATATTAAAAAAAATTAATACTTTTATTTAACAAAGATACTTTGCATTCATCAAACTTGACAGTAAATACATTATATATATATATATATATATATATATATATATATATATATATATACATATATATAATTCACCCAAATATGGAAATTCTGTCATTAAGTTGTTCCAAACTTGTATGAGTTTTTCTTCTGTTGAACACAATTAAGATATTTTGAAGAATGGTGGCTGGTATATATATATATATATATATATATATTTCTAAGGGTTATATATAATGTGTGTGTATATATATATATATATATATATATATATATAATGTCAATTTAAATTAGGTGAACCATCCCTTATAAGAATGAAAAGGTTATTGTGGTTTCTACAAAAAATATTAAGTAGTACAACTGTTTTCAACATTGGATAAACAGATTGTCCCACCCCAAATTCACACCACTGGTGTCTACTGTATATACTTAAGGTTAATTATTGTAATTACATTTGTGTAAAAAGACTGAAAAGTCGTTAATAAGTCTGTAGAGACACACTGTGCTGGAATTGCTTTAGATTGATAATATTATTTCATAATTTTGACAATGGAGTTGCATTTTATTTTTCCAAATAATCTTTCAAAATATTACATTAGTTAATATAACTGATAAACAATTGAATCTGGAAATGTTACATTTACTTTCACATGCATTTTGTCACATTGTATTTTTATAAACATTTGCAGGTTTACAAGAGGAAAACCGAGGCAGCTAAGAAAGAGTATCTGAAAGCTTTAGCAGCATACAGAGCAAATCAACTCTCAAGAGTGAGTGAATTGTCTCTAGTTCTTCTTTTGTTTTTTTGTTTTAATTTGCTGCCCTATCTTATACTTTCTTTCCTTTTATTTCTCATCCAGCCATATTCTGAGGTGGAGGATAGCGCTCCTTCCACTCCTCCCTCTGTCCCCTGTCCTGCACCCGTCATCCCTGCTCCTGCTGCCCCTGCCCGTCCACGCCTGACCCCCATCCCTGAGCAGAACACCATCACCAACATCTGTGCATCCAATATTATCCTCGACCTGCCTCAAGTCACCACCCGTTCCCGCACGGGTTCTCTACCCTTGGCCATCGGCCAGCCCCTGACCCCTAACCCCAGCCCAACACCCACCGTCACAAAAATCATTATCTCCAAGCAGATGCTACAGGGAGGTTCTCAGCTCCACCAGATCCCCACCTCCATGGTGACGGTGATTCCGGCCGGAGTACGGGCCGTGCATCCGGCTTCTGCTGGACGACAGCCTCCACCACTGCAGCAGATGCAGGGCACCCCACCTCCACCACGTCTGCAGCAGATGGTACAAACCCAAGCCCCGCCGCCTCTTCAGGCCAAGCCCCGTGGAGGGGCAGGAAGTTCTGTGGCCGTCACGGCTACGCCTCCACCGCCTCTTCAGATAAAGATTGTGCCCGCTTCTATACACTCTGACCTGTCCACGCCAATTATTGTTACTACAGCAACAAGTGCCAATACAGTTATTTCCTCATCCACCATCTCAGCCTTAGCACATCCTGCCCCTGTTGAGGTGAAAGTGGAAGAGCCCAAAGAGGAGTTGGCTACTGGGACGGATGAGGCTCTGACGGAGGAAGCCGAAGTGGTTTGTTTTTTCAATAATTAACATCAGCAGAGCCACTGTGGTTACACTTTATTTCAAGATGTATTTCCCTGTTACAGTGTAATTATAACAATAAGTACTGAGTAAAATTAATGGGATAGTTAAGCCAACAATTCTTTCATTAATTACTCACCCTCATGTCATTCCAAACCTGTAAGATTTTTGTTCATCCTCGGAACATGATCTATAAACCTATATAATTCATAATTTAACCTATATAAAACCTATATAATTTAAAGTGACATCATGACTTGAATAGAGTGTGGAATTGCAGAGCTTTTCCAAACATATCCACATCGCTATGATCAGATGCTTTCTTAACTGCTTTTTTCTCGCCGATGTCAATTTTATTGATTATTTTGTTATTGTATTTACATATTAATCTGTGTTCACTACCAGTATACAGCTGTGCAATTATTTAAACTTTTTATCTCTAAGCAAAGAACAAACAAGAATACGATGTAATTATATCTGGGCCTTAAGAGATCAAACACAAGTACACAGCAAAGTAATTCTTGAACTTGCTTTATTCTGCATTTTCAGATGGAGATGGAGGTAAGTGTTGCTCCTGCGGTCTCCTCTTCCACCCCTCCTGTGAATCTCTGTGTCCGTGCTGGATGCACAAACCTGGCTGTGGACAGTCGAGACTGGGATAAGGAGTATTGCAGCAATGAATGTGTGGCCACACACTGCAGGTGTGTGTGTGTTGTTGTTTTTTTTTTTGTATTTTTATTTTTTTGTACAGTCAGAGTCCATTTACTAACCGTCCCTATTTTTACTTTCTTAACAGGGATATTTTCATGGCCTGGTGTTCAATCAAGAGCCAGAACTCAGCCACTGTCAAATAAATGAAACAAAATCCTCCTGATTCTGGGTCTTAGCATGCCTGGATGTGTCTTTTTAATAATAACACAACAGAATTTTACTGGAATTACTAGTGAAAGTTTAGTGTTTTTGTTGTAAATATCTAAGGCATGAAAATGGCAGTGGAAAAATCACTCTATGAAAGGACAAATTATGTCTTTGTTACAACTGCTGATAATATACTGCAAACATCATGTTTTGACATTTGTTTTCCTAGTTGAAACTGTCAGAAAAGGACGTATGGACATGTTTGGACCTTGTATTGTTTCCACTCAGGTTTGGGCCAGTGGTTTGTTTTATTTTTTATATATATGTTACTAGTTAATGTGTTAAAGTGAGACAAATCCGAACCATTGTATTATTTTCGAATGCAGTCATTTTTGATTAAGATGACAAATTTAAGAGTATTAGTGGACCTCAAACAGTAATGCAATCAGTCTGCAATTCTATTATATTTTCAGTTTTCTTGTGTTTGTACTGACAGTGTCTTAGATCAGTGTTCACAAGTGCTCTTGTGTAAAATCTTTTTGCCTTAGTTATGGGGTTTTGCTGACTTTTTTTTTAGATTGTGTTACAGAAATGACTTGAGTATTAATAAAAGGCAGCCAAAATGGACAAAGTTTCAGAATTCATTTCATTTCAATTTAGTTCGTAAGAATTTGTAATCTGGAAAACATGACTGAATAGAGATCACTTTTACAAGTCGCAAGCTTAAAAAAAAAAATCTGTAACAAACTATGTCATTTCTTGGCCATTACGGTTGAGACTCAGTGATCTTGTTAGAGAGAGAGTCCCCTCATCCACACCCCGATCTACACCCTCCACAAGAGATGTCACGAAACCCGCCTCCTTGTGGATGTTCTGAAACGCTAACATTAATACATTAGACTGATATTAAAAGAAATAAATGATATTATCACACTTAGTAAACCACTATACTAATAATGCATACTAAAGAAAAGCAGATGAACACAGAATATGACGAAAGAAAGCAAATTTGTGTTCAGTGCAAATAAACCAGCTGCCTGTGTTCTATTAATAATGTATAATGAATTGTGTGATTTGTTTTGTTTGTTTTTTTTTTTTAAATAACTGTTGGTCCATTAAGGCTCATTGAGCTTTTTCTTGGTTTTCTATGAGAGGAAAATGCTTAACGTACGATTAAATGAGTTGCGTTCATATTCTTCTCAGCTGCTTTTCTGTATGCTTTATTTATGGTGTTTCCTGAGTTTTGTCTTTTAATACCACTGTCTTAATCTAACGTGTTGCATTCATATTCTGTGTTCATCTGCTTTTCTTTCTTATGCATTATTAGTATGGTGGTTTACTAAGTGTGATAATATCATTTATTTCTTTTAATATCAGTCTAACCCCCTCAGACCTGAATTATGTTTCAAGTTTCTGAAAAATATAAAAGTACATTTTCCCAGCTCATGAGGTTTCTATAAATGAAAACAAATGAATATATATATAATTGCTTTCATTGTGATTTTTTTTTTTGCTCATTCCAATGGACATCAGGTCAAAACAGGTGTACTGCCCAAAAATGTACCAACATGAAATAAATTAATAAACATAAAATTTGTTTGTCTATACTTTAAGCTTTTTCTCAAGGTCAAAAAAATTCCAGCAGCATACCATTTCAACTATAATTTTGGGGTTTTTGTTTTACAGATTGCACATTGTTTTTAACAAACTAAATATCTTCGAATCAATCAATCTGGTCATATTAGAGTCATTTTCTGTGTGCACCTTTCTTTTTTTAGAACAAAAACTTGAACATTGTAACATTACAACTTTAATTGTAAGGTTTTTCCTTTATATTGCATATTTGTTTATTCATAACAAAATAAACCAAGGAATCAATCAATGCATTCATGTTAGAGTCATTTCCTGTGTGCATCGGACGAGTCCCCGGACACGCCCCTGTCCCACGAACCCACTATTTGTCCAATAACCCACTATTTTTGAAAAGTACTAACCCTGGCCTTCATGCAATGAGCTGCAATTGGACAGAATCCCGCCTGCAATCTATTGAATGGGGATTTGGGTAGTGTAATTTTTGGACATTTTGATTAAAGTTTCTTTCATGGTAAAACTATTTTAATGCACTCAGCTGGGGCCCCTGAGTCTGTAGCACCAAGCGCCATCCCGTAATTCCACCATCCACGAACCCACTATTTTTGTAATGGCATAAATGCTACATGGTATCTCAATATCTCGGCTCTGGAAGGGTCTAGAACCTCCATTTTTGCACTCAGGTCTAAGTCTCATGGCCCTCTATCAGAATCCAGAGTTTTGAGAAGATTGGAGAAACGTATTTTTTCGCACCGGAAAAAACGACAGGGGTACCACTGTTGTTGTTTTTTTGGGTCGAAATTTTGAGTTTCTCTGATCTTCTTGAAACTCTGGATTCTGACAGAGGGCCAAGAGACTTAGACCTGAGAGCAAAAATGGAGTCTCTAGACCCTTCCAGAGCTGAGATAGTGAGATCCCACATAGCATTTATGCCATTATAAAAAATAGTGGGTTCGTGGGATCACAATATCTCCGCTCTGGAAGGGTCTAGAGCCTCCATTTTTGCACTCAAGTCCAAGTCTCAGCTCTGGAAGAGACTTGGACTTCTGGAAGCTCTGGAAGAGACTTGGACCACAGACTTGAAAACACTGTGGGTTTTTTTTTTGGGGTCGAAATTTTGAGTTACTCTGACATTCTTGAAATTCAGGATTCTGATAGAGGTTCATGAGACTTAGACCTGAGTGCCTAGAGACTTAGACCTGAGAGCAAAAATGGAGTCTCTAGACCCTTCCAGAGCTGAGATAGTGAGATCCCACATAGCATTTATGCCATTATAAAAAAATAGTGGGTTCGTGGGATCACAATATCTCAGCTCTGGAAGGGTCTAGAGCCTCCATTTTTGCACTCAAGTCCAAGTCTCAGCTCTGGAAGAGACTTGGACTTCTGGAAGCTCTGGAAGAGACTTGGACCACAGACTTGAAAACACTGTGGGTTTTTTTTTTGGGGTCGAAATTTTGAGTTACTCTGACATTCTTGAAATTCAGGATTCTGATAGAGGTTCATGAGACTTAGACCTGAGTGCCTAGAGACTTAGACCTGAGAGCAAAAATGGAGTCTCTAGACCCTTCCAGAGCTGAGATAGTGAGATCCCACATAGCATTTATGCCATTATAAAAAATAGTGGGTTCGTGGGATCACAATATCTCAGCTCTGGAAGGGTCTAGAGCCTCCATTTTTGCACTCAAGTCCAAGTCTCTTGGCCCTCTATCAGAATCCAGAATATCAGAATTAGGGTTGGGAACCGAGAACCGGTTCTTTTCCAGAACCGGTTGTGTTTTTGAAAAAATACCGGAACCGTGCAAAATTCCTAAGTTTCGGTTCCGAAAACGGTTCTGATGCCGATGCGATATCATCATGTGGGCTGAAGTGCTGGGAGTAGAAGACGCCGTCTTATTCCTAAATGACAAAAACTTCACCACTGAAGTTGCGATTTGCTCTCACACGCGCTGCATTTGTCACACACAGACACACGCACGCTGCGCGCGCCGACCGCCGACCACTCTAGCCTACATTCAAATCTGTTTGCGCTGAGAGGAGAGAGAGCAGTTGTCGATATGAAACTGCTTTACAATCACACAGTCTCAATATTT